GAAAATATTGATTAGTAACACCTCTCACCTTGTAGATTAATTTTGTGGGGATAATTAAATAATAAACAGAGGATTTTATCCTTAAAACTACATCATTATAATTTTGTTAAGTAATATATTTATTAACAAACATATATAATTCTAAATTTTAATATATTTAATACAAGATTTAATCTAAGGAACCTAACATCGTACTAACTAGAAAATTAGTTAGTTATTGGAAAATATATACTTTCATCTAATTTAACTTAATCTAATAAAGGTAACCGAACGAGGCAGTTTTAACTTTTAAGAGTGTATAATTGCAGAATTCAACTTTTGTAGCGGGATTGAGTAAGTACAAATTTAATAAATAAAATATTTAGATATTAGATAAGAACTTGGAAATTAATTAGTCATGTGATTATATATAGTTTAAGTTGATATACATTTCAAAATTAAGGGTCTAAGTTTGAAGTGCCGTCTCTGAATTATATGTGAGTGCGTTTGGCACTTTTGGCTGTGGATAATTAATTAATTCCAAAATGTTGACTTCTTGACAATGTATTGAGTTTTTGACCACCAAGAAAAAAACTATTGTTAATTATTATTTGGATTAATTAATTAATTATAAATATTGTTTGATGTAATCAAGGATGTAAGTAATTAATTACGTGGCAATGAACAAGAATTTGGCGCCGCATGTTCGCGGGAACGAGATCCAATCGCATGCACCGCGCGCCATGTGAGTCTTTAATTACCTCCCAATTATTTGTCAGAATTATTAAAAAAAATTAATCAAGATTAGTGGTTTTTCCAATTTAAATTAACCAAAAGGAATAAAATTAACACATTTAAAAAATAAATTATATTATATATTTTTTTTTTTTGCATAATGGGAATGCAAAGAAAAGAGAACCAATGGAGAAAACTGTGAAATTAACACGGTTTGAAAAGAATGGAGAGTTGACAATTTTGTCAGCATGTGATCGACTCTCTTGTTTTTTGTTTTTTGTATGCTATTTTAATTTTTAATATATATATAAATTATGTTAATTATATATATATTTTTTTTATTATTTTTTTTTAATTAGTAAGATCTAATTATTAGTTTGTTGACATTGATCTACGTTGTTTGACTCTCAATACTATTTCAACCGACCATTCCCAACTTTTATTAATGTTAATTAATTAAGAGCAATTAATTAAAAAAAGATGCTTTTTCCTGATCCCTCGTCTATTTTTCATTTTATTTATTTATTTATTTTAAATAACAATAATAATGTACTAATTAAGAGAATTAAAACTCTCTTTATTTATTAACATTCTCCAAAATTTGGATATTGTCTTCCAAATACTCTCTTCTCTCTACTCTCTACCAATAAATATCCCAGCAAAATTAAAACTTGAAAAAAAAAAAAAACCTAAAATAAAATAACAAGCCAAAAGCTGAAGATAATAAAAATCAAGAAAATCTATAAGCAAGTGGTCCAGCTTCCAGCTTATTTCCTTCAAAATCAAGAGCCACACAAATTTGAATTATCCAATATGCAAGCTGACGAGTACTAAAATAAAACTAAAAATAAAAAAATAAAATAAAATATCCCAAATAAAAACTTCAATAAGTTTGGCAAAAGGCCAATAACAACAAATTAAAGCATGCTACATTATTATTATTATTCATGAAATTATTCTAGTACACGTAGACACCTACCAAAAGTCAACCCCACCATATTCTTCTTCCTACAAATAAGCTAGACTTCTTACTTAAAAAACTTTCATTCAATATTCTACTCATAAATCAAATGCACACAAGCCCCCCTACGTGGCTTATGAATTCCATAAGCTGCATGTTCTTCTACTGAACAGCTTTTAGCTTCTAACTTTCAGCTTTTCTTTCCGCTTAATTTGCTCTACAAGAAAAGGCCTCAACGTCGGCCGCCCCTCCGAACCCTCATCGAGTTTTTACGGTACACCATCTTTTAATTTTTTATAATTTTAATTTTATTTTAATTTAATTTAATTAGTTGCTTTGAGTTGTTCTGAAGAGAAGCATCTGACTTGTAGTTCAAACTTTCTGAGATTCAATGCTTAAGCAACTTATTTTCTAAGCGCATTACCTGGGATTCTCATGAGTTCAAGAATTTCTATAATCATTAATTAATGTCTGATTAAAGACAAGTACAAGTACAATTATTTAGTTAACTTAGTTTAATGTCGATCATGAACATAATTAAGCAAGTTCATGCAATATAGCAACATATTTTCATCTCAAATGCCAAAACATGCAATTAGGGTGTAATTAATACGCCTCGTATACCGGCGAAAGTACCGTACTATAACGAAAATTAGGGCTAACCCATGTGACCTCTGCATGTACATGGTTTCTCCAACAAATTTATACTTCTTCAAAACACACAACTTCTCTAAGGAGAGATATATCCTCATAACCGAGCTCCTCGAATTATCGAATCTT